TAAGAACGCGAACGGCTTAGTACCAGCAGGGGCGATTGTAGCAAACGACCCTGTCCTGCAATACTTGGCTAAACTACCAAAAGGCCAGGCGCCTAAGAAAATCTTTGTGATGATGGAAGACCAGCTCATCGGGAAGGATTCGGCTGCCTTAAGAGTGTTATACCCGCTCATTAATGGGCAGGGTGAGGAAGAGGCCATCCTAGACGGAGGGTCCCAGATAGTGTCCATGGCATTGGCCACTGCAATGGATATGGGGGTCCCTTGGGACCCGGATATTACTATCTTTATGCAAAGCGCTAATGGACAAGTAGAGAAAACAGTGGGCCTAGCCAAGAATATTCCCTATAGATTTGGGGACATCACAATATTCCTACAAGTCCATGTTATAAAGGACCCAGCATACAAAGTGCTACTAGGGCGCCCTTTTGATATCTTGACGGCCAGCACTGTTCAGAATGAGGCCAATGGAAATCAAATGGTCACTCTAACAGACCCGGTCTCGAAGCGCCGTTGCACTTTGCCAACTCACGCACGAGGAGCCATAAGAAGGATTCAGAGGACCAAACCTGCAAAGGAGGAAACAGAAAACAAGGCGCCCGAAGAGACAGAGGCAAATTTTTAGAAAAACTCAAGGAATTGATAGACGATCAACGAGAGTTTGCTGCAATAGTCGAGATTGATGAAAGTGGACAAGGTTGGATAAAAGCCACTCAGCATTCGGTTGAGGTTGATGGCAAGTTTTCTAAAGACGTATTGGCAGCGCTCTATACTGAGCAAACCTTGCCATACATCAAGGATGACGATCCAGCAGTAGCCTTGTTTCAGGAATTTATGGGAATGAGCAATCCCAGACGAGATGTGAACGGGACATACGTGGTTCAAACGACTGACGGACCACACATACCCGGGACGGACAAAGAAATTCCAAAGGAATTTGAAGAAAAGCGTCCTCACAAGGCGCATAAGCATCATGCGCAAGGCGCGCGATGCAATTGCTGTGAATACGCAGATTGGGTATTGCCAGGACCTATGGAGGCCGGGCGCGCGCCAACGAAACACTCAGGCGCGCCTGTTGCCTCTGTTTATGCTGGTAAAAAGTACAAACCGGTAGCGTTAAAAGTTAGGCCGGTCTTGCAGGAACTACCAGAGGAATACAGAATAGTGAGGAATATCACGGGGGACCCATTGAAAGATATGCCGGTCCTACCTGAAGATCCGCCCGATTTTGAACCCACTGGACGGTACACTCAAGAGAGAAAAGAGATAGTAGATAAATTACACGATGAGGAATTCTTGTGGCCAGGCGAAAGGAAACTCATGCACTACTTCATGATGCTGCATGAGCAGAATTTCGCTTGGACCGATGCTGAAAGAGGAGAATTCAAAGAAGAATTCTTCCCGCCAGTACGGTTTCCAATATTAAAAGATCACAAGGTATGGGTGGAAAGGAACATACCCATTCCTCCAGGACAATTAGAAGAAGTATGTAAGGTACTTAGGGCCAGCATAGACTCGAATATATATGAACCGTCAAACGGGTCTTATAGGACAAAGTACTTTAGTGTATTAAAGAGTGACGGGAAGTCTATAAGATTGGTACACTCTTTAGAGCCACTAAATGCGGCCACTATAGCTCACTCAGGGGTACCACCAGGCGCCGAGGAATTAGCAAACCATTTTGCTGGGCGCGCCTGCGGTGGTTGCTTAGACTTGTATTCTGGATATAACCACAGGACTATTCATGAGGACTCAAGGGATTACACTACGTTTCAAACTCCTTTCGGGGCCTTAAGGTTGGTTAAACTACCTCAGGGCTGGACAAACTCAGTTCCTATATTCCATGAGGATGTTACTTACATCCTCAGGGATGAGATCCCGCACGTAACTTGGCCGTACATTGATGACGTACCGGTACGAGGACCTGGGACTAGGTACCAGAGGAAGGATGGGACGTATGAAACAATTCCCGAGAATAGTGGAATCAGACGGTTCGTTTGGGAACACTTTCAAAATTTGAATAGGATTGTGACTAGGATGGGACACGCAGGAGGAACCTTCTCAGGCAAAAAGGCGGTACTATGCCGGAGCGACCCAACTATAGTTGGGCACGTCTGTACTTATGAGGGCCTGCGTCCATCCGCAGACAGAATAGGAGTTATCTTGAGATGGGGGCCGTTAAAGACTTACACAGACGTAAAGTCCTTTCTAGGTACCATAGGAGTAATGAGGATGTTTATTGAAGACTTCGCATTAAAAGCGGGGCCTATCAACAAGTTGACTAGGGCAGGTGTAGACTTTGAGTGGGGACCAGCCCAGGAGGCCTCAATGGCGATCCTAAAAGAATCTCTGAAGGACTGCAAATGCTTGAAGCCCATTAACTATGATTGGTTAACGGATGTAGTCCTCGCGGTCGATACCTCCTGGATGGCGGTGGGTTTCTACCTATACCAGATGGATCCCGAGGACTTGTTGAAGAAGTATTATGCGAGATTCCAGTCCATCCCATTAAATGAAAGGGAGGCCCGTTACTCTCAACCTAAACGCGAGTTATATGGTTTAAAACGGGCGCTCGCCTATATGCATTACTGGTTGATAGGATGCCGCCGTCTAGTGGTTGAGACTGACGCTAAATACTTAAAAGGCATGTTGGAAAACCCGGGCATGGGACCTAACGCAACCATTAACCGCTGGATTGAAGAGATTCTAATGTATCAGTTCAAGCTCAAACATGTACCAGGCAAGACCTTTGGGCCAGATGGGCTATCTCGAAGGTTGAAGCAGCCAGGAGATGAGGACTTCCCTAATCCAGAGGTCCAGTTCGATAACAATCCTCCTCCATTAATGCATGAAGAGAGTGATGAAGTTGAACCACCTCTAGGGTTTGAGGAGTTTAAAGAAGAAATCGATGTAAGGGGAGGTTATCTGGCCTCGATTATGACAGGCAGTGAAGCCACCAGTATCATGGATTTCGATAAAGAGATAGCGGGCGCCAGAATTAGGCAGTGCCCGAGAGAAAAGGAAATGCTGGGGGTATTCGTTCAACAACTGGCGCAGACCAAGCACAAGCATAGAGTGGTTAAGCCAGGTGGGGAGCCGATGCTACCAGACAGAGAATTAAAGTTCGACGAGAACAAGCGCGCGCCTTATCCCGAGAAACAAAGGACCGCTGTGGGAATCAGTATTGACCATAGGGTCGAATTGTTGAGGATTTGGTTCAGGGATACCCTGGAGAGGCCCGAAGGGATGGAAGATGATGAAGACTACAGAAAATTCATCAGATTCGCCCGAGACTTCTTCATGGATAAGAAAGGGCGTTTATATAAGAAGGCGCCGGGAACGGGTCATAAACTGGTAGTCGAGAAAGACCATAGAATGTATATGCTTCAGGCAGCACACGACAGTGTAGGCCACAGAGGGCAGTTTGCAACCAAAGCCCTATTGGACTTAAGGTTTTGGTGGCCGGAAATCGACAGGGACGTTAACTGGTACGTTAACTCGTGCGAGCTATGCCAACTAAGGCAGAAAACCTTGTTACGCATTCCTCCTACTGTCACCCACACGCCGTCTCTGTTTCAACAGATACATATCGACGTAATGGTTATGGGCACTCCCTCGAACGGCTACAACAAAGTTGTGGACGCCAGGGACTCTTTGTCTCGATGGTTAGAAGCACGGCCTATTAAGAACGAAAATGCACGGACTCTGGGTCTATTCATCTTAGAAGAGATAATTTGTAGATGGGGCTGTCCGGAAGTCTTGGTGACTGATAACGCGCCACAATTCTTGGCAGCAGTTGAGTGGTTGAAAACGAAGTACGGGATACAGGGGATAAGAGTGTCGCCTTACAATTCTCAAGGAAATGGCTCAGTAGAGAACGGGCATTGGCCCATGCGTCAGTCCTTGTATAAGGCGACAGGTGGCAACCCAGGAAAGTGGTATTGGTTCTTCCCGCAAGTGGTCTGGGCAGATAGGATAACAGTTAGGAGAGGGTTGGGCTGTTCTCCGTATTTTATGGTAACAGGCGCGCACCCACTCCTACCGTTGGATATAGAGGAAGCGACTTGGCTAGTGGAACTACCAGGGAGGCTGCTCACTACAGAAGAACTGATAGGATTCAGGGCGCAAGCGTTGGCAAAACATCATACACATGTTGAACAAATGCGCGCCCGAGTAACCCAAGAAAAGCTTACAGCTGTAAGGAAGTACGAATTGGCGCACAAGAATACTATCCAAAATTATGATTTCCAACCTGGGGACCTAGTCCTGATTAGGAACACAGTGGTTGAAAAATCTTTGAACACAAAGATGGCGGCCAGATACTTGGGCCCGATGGTGGTCATCAGGCGAACCAAAGGAGGCAGCTATATTGTGGCAGAGCTGGACGGAGCAGTCTTTCAATCCAAGATCGCTCAGTTTAGGGTGGTACCTTATGAGGCCAGGCGAAGTATAGCCATCCCTAAAGACATCTACAAGCTCATCGATTTGTCCAAAGAGACGCTCGACGAATTGGTGGAGGATGTGGGGGAATACAAGGGCAAGGATTTACAATTCGGTAACATTCGACTAGGCGCGCCCGACAATTATATAGAGGGCCGCCCGGAAGACGATCCCGAAACAGAGGATAGAACAGACGAACTTGAAGACGACGACGCACCTCGTGTCATGGGGACAAGAGCGGTCAAGAAAGCCGGCAGGGAGCTGGCGAAGGCACAGGAGGAACAGTTGAAGCGGAGCTGGGATAACTGGCAAGAACGAAAAAGGGACAGCCGCTAAATTTAAAAATCTCGCGCGCCTGACCCATGATATCGTTTCACGCGCCTGACAATGAGTACCACCTGGCGCGCCTGGTGAGAGAGTCACTTCGCGCGCCCGGTTGTTTTGATGGCGCTGGGAAGTTTGTGGCATCAGAAGTGGCAGTGGCCGGCCGGTGATCGGTGATGCCTGCGGGAGAGGAAATCTCTCACGGTTGAAACCAATAAAAATCATGGATGCCAAATTCACGCCCTGGCCTGGACTTGAACCAGGAGCTCCCCGAGAACGTTTACGGATGCTACAGAAAGAAGGCCGGGGTGTGGTAACCGTTACACTACCAAGGCATTGTTGGCTCGAGCCTGGCTGGACGGTATAAGGCATGAGCGGGTGCTTTGTCATGGAAATAAGGAGTGGGCGAGGAAAAAGGTCGCTAGCCTACACCTGGATTCGAACCAGGCACTCCCCCCTGAAAGTTGATAAATGGAATGTACTCCTATGTTACGGGAGGCGTGACAACCACTTCACCATGCAGGCGGTGTGGTTGGCATGCTAGGGCAGGGAGATAAAAGAGACGAGGCGCGCGCCTTCCTGAGAAACGGAAGACAAGGCGCGCGCGATGGGACAAAGATATCAGGATTGAGCTGCGGGCCGCTTCATTGATGAACTACAATACGGGCTAAGTCTGAGATAAAGAAGGCGCGCCGGTGTCTACAGGTTGGAGCCACTGGCTTCGGTGGGGATCTCCGCCTGTAGCTCCTGGAGGCGCTCGGTGAGCTCGGCAGCGTCCTCGACGTGGACAGCGCGAATGCCTAGTTCACTCTTGATCTTCTCGTTGATAACGGCCACCTCTACCATGAGCTGGTAAAGGCGCTTCTTGATGGCGGGCACAGTGTTAAGGAACTCAGTAGGCTGGGTAGAGATTAGCTTAGCTTCATCGACGATAAAGTTAGCTGAGGGTCCACTGGATAGGTTCTTCACCGCTGCTAAAGTATTTAGTAAGTGATTTGGGAAGTCGAACGGGCGATTAAGAACGGCTCGCCTTCCTGAATGAAGGCATTCTCGTCAAAATCAAGACGGCGTTTCTTCTTCTTGGACTTCTCCTTGGGCTGGTGACCCAGTCTGAGCTACGCTAAACCAAGAAGTCATGAAGGGTGGGCGCACAGTTTCATTGCCCTGCAGACAAGGGGTCATTGAATGGCCTGAGGTACAATGGTGGCATCTTACGATAGCGCTGTCGGGATGCTTGTTCTTCTTGAAATGAAGGTCGCGCGGGATAGCGCCTTCATCGTCAACTTGCATCTGACCGAGAGAGTTGCTCAGCGACTGAATAACAATTTTGACAATAGGAGCTAATTCACCCGGGTATCAGCGGAAGACTCTTCAGCAGCTGAAGGACCGTTACCGCCAGGGTGCATCCTGAAGTTGGCAGGGCCTGGGACGATGGACACCTCGTCATCAGACTCGGCAGCCTTGGCCTTGACGGACTTCTGCAAGAAAGGGAAAAACCGGGCGCGCCTGAGTCAAAATGTTGTGAAAGCTGAGGATGATAACACCACCAGGCGCGTGAAAAGTTGAAAAAAACTCGCGCGCCCGGTGAAGAAAAAAAAAATATAGTAGTAACGGAAAAACGCACCTTTTTGAGGGCGACGGTCTTGCGCGCCTCCTGGATTATATGCGTGGTCTTGCGCAACGCATCATAACTACTAGGGAAGACCTGCTTCACGTTGTTGTTCGGGTTGAACAGGTCATGGTACAGGGTTCGCGCTGCGAACAGATCCTGACGCAAGGGCTCGTTGTCGTGTTCCATAAGGATGCTAGGCAACGCAACAAAGGCTTTCTGTAAATTGGTCAGTAAAATTGGTATACAAGGAGGAGCGTGGGCATACCGCAGCATTCCCCACTTCATGGAGCTGCTGCTGGCGCTTGTCCGCAGGCGCGGAGAACTTGGCGAGTTGGTTAGCTAGCTCAAGGGCCTTGTTAAAGGACTCCTTAGCCAGAACAAACTCGGTCAATTGACCAGCGGTAACGTCGGGTGCCATTGATAGGATAGTACGAGAGGAAAGAAGAAGTGCTTCTCTGCAGACGGCGGGGCCTCTCCTTATAAGCTATGTTCCATGAGTAAATGCTTACAGGAGAGTAGGCATATCTCTCTCTTTTCAGAACAACGGATCAACCGAGGACGGTTGAGATGTTTAGAAAGGGGGAGGGATACCTAAGCAACCTAATTACCAAGAAGGATTTTTTCGAAGCCAAGATTGTACAATCTAGGCGCGCGGAAAAATCCTTAGTAAACATGCATTGGGCCAAGAAGGCGCATCAATTTATTAGAAATTGGCGCGCCAAGGTCATTATCAATGTAGGAATGATGACTTGACAAAATGGGCATTAGATGCTTCACTTCTGAAAAACACGATCGACGCGGAGCAGTAACGAGGTAGTTTATTCCTTTGGGAAACTAAATCGAAGAAATCTGAGTACGGAAGGGTACTAGTAAGGAGCTCGTGAAGTTCCTCATGGCCGGCAACCATAGCCTTGACAGTGTACTGGAGTAACATATCCACTACACTGATATCATAGTCCTCTACGTCTCTAACGAGCTCCTGGTGCAGACGAGCACGGGAGAGGGTGGTTGGGAAGGACGCGAGGATACGATCGATAGAAGTGGAAGGAAGATGAGCGATAGACGCTAAGTGGGCTTTAAAAAACTTGGGAATAACATCGCAATAGAGATGTAACAAGTGCCTAAGGTCGACGTTCGTAACTAGAACAAGAGGATTAGGGACTTTGCAGATGGGAACATAAAAGATGGGACGCACTTGGGTGTTGAGTAGATATCACGCCCTGTGTACACATCTCCAGGAAATATTGTTTCCAGATAGTTGAGGACATAAGGGAACAAGGATAGGTCATAATCCAACAACGAGCGCAAGGTTTAGCAAAAGCTATTCCAACGCAGCGTTCTCCGGCCTCGAGACAAGTGTGACAAGTCTGAGAAGGCTAGGAAGTGGGTCAGCAGTTTGCGCCGGCTCTAAAGAAGGAGCAAGGCGCACCGCGGCTAGTCCTAGTAAATATTCAGCTTGGACGTCCAAGGAACGAGGATGTTTCGGATCACCCTCCAAAGCTACCCTAGTGAAATCACCCTTGACGGAGTGAAGTCCTGGTCCCCAGGAAAGAGTAAGGGATTGGAAGAGTGGCACCGAGATAAGGTTGTAACAAAAATCTGTTCCGCTTCGAGTAGCGAACTCGGTTAAGGCAACCATAGGCAAAACCTCGGGCATGGCGCGCGGAAATCCTTCGATATCGGAGCAGGCGCGCCGACCTTTATAAGACAAGGCTTGATCGATGAGATCTTGGTGAACAAGGCGCGTGAAAATGGTCCCATGGATCAAAAATGTGGCCTTGGATATCTCATCAATTATACATCCGAGCATGTCTAAGCCGAGTTACGCATGGTACGAAGAACCTGCCCTAATCTAATGGCAGCCAACTCGGACATAAAGATACGACCTTCACTACGGTACCAGTGATAGAGGCTAGCGAGCGCCTGAGGATTGCTCTCAGTAGTAAATTGACGGTGTAAGCTACGAATGAATTCACGAGGGTACCCGGTAACTGAGATATCATCGAAAGTACTAGGAAAGACTTCGTGACGACGTTGACGGAAAAAGATCTCCGAGAAAACATGTGCTGAGAAACAATCAGCGGGATTCTCAAGGAGGGAGTTCAGAAGAATGCGCACGATATTGATAAGACATTAAAGATGTATTGGATCCATGGACAGAATAGAAGGCGCGCAAAGTAGTATAACAGCACGGAGGACCAACGTCGCGTCTCCTGCAGACTACACATTTGCCGCCCCAACGGACAAATTGGCAGACTTGATTAGAATCTTGGCAATGGACACACGAAAATGCAGGCTAAGAGGGTTCCGTTAATTAAATATTTAGAAAGAGGGCAACCACAGACCTGAGAACGGAAGGCTCGCATCAAGGCGCGCCCAGGGCCAGCAGGATAGTCAGTCAAAGGACGGCTAGGCGGCATACTGGACTAAGGATTATCAAAGATAAAAAGTCTGAGTTTTAAAAGGGGCACGCGTCAAGAATAGTGATGAATGTAAGAAGCCATCACTAGACTTAGGCTTCACCTGGGAACATCGGATGGATTAAGAGATTATCTGTGGGCATGTTCAGATGGTGCACTACCAAGTAGAAGGGTGTTGGGTCAGCCGAGACCTAACCTAGTTTAAGCCTTAGTCAGGAACATCAATGACTAACGGAACCGCTTTAGACGGGCTAAGCGAACCGGGCGCGCGGGGCTAATTATAGATCACGCGCCTGGTCCGAAATATGGGTCCGTGGAACCAGACTTTAGGGCTGGCTAAACCGGAAACAGCTGGATAAAGGGAAAGCCCCACAAGGCGCGCGATGCGATCATGAATTGGCGCGCCCGGTTGTGCGATCCAGACTTGTGAAGAAAAATGGCTGAGGAAGAATTATTCCCACGGTTTAAAAAGTTCACAAAAATATGGAGGACCCGATTTTATTGGCGCATAAGTAAGCGCGTCAAGACAAATTGTATGAAGTACAATAGGTAGGATAAGTAAAGCGTTCAGGTAAACGATACCCTGGCTAACTATCTACCTATGAAGGAAGTGCGCAAAAAGTAGTTCGATAAGTAAAACAAAAGACCCGCGAGAAACAGCCGCCGGTACCCTGCCAGTCAGTGTGACTGAGTGCGCTTCTTGAGGGGCCTGGTCCCGGGAGAGCGAGGAGCGGGCGCGGGGCGAGAAGGAGGGCGACTCTCGTCGTCGCTGCTATCGCTGCTGCTGCTGCTGCTCTCGCTGCTGCTCTCCTCGCTGCTGTCTTCGGCATTGATAGGAGCGGGCGCGGGCGCGGGACTTCCATCTGCCTCTGCTTCCCCGTCTTCGTCGTCGTCGGAATCCTCGATGAGCTAGACAAAAGTTAGTAAAAAGGCAGTTGGATTGTAAAGGAAGATTACTTACAATCACCTCCTGTCCTTCGATCTCGACCGTCTTGTAGGTTGAAGAAGGCCCGAGATGAGACTATAGAAAGGTGGTCAGAAAAAGATAAGAATAAAGAAAGAAAAAGGAGGTTTACCAAGTCTTCCTCGCGAGGCTCGGCCTTGATCACTTCGGGTTCGGGAGTGGAGGGGGCCGGGTTGGCAAAGACCAGAGTCAAAGGGCGAGGTCCCTCGGCAGGAAGGCGCGCGGCGGCCAAATCGCCCAAACCTATGTCGAATGGGTCGGAATAGTCAGGCCCAGGTTCAAAGCCAGCAGGATGGGGCGTACGAGGACTAGGAGGAGGCAGGTCTACCTCTGGGGTAGAAGCTGGAACAATGCCTCGAAGAGAACCGGTGGCAGGACGAGGCGCGCGAGGAGAAGCGGAGGCTGAAGGCGCGCGAGAATAGGCCGGAGGTGGGGAGCCAGAAGGCGCGCGAAGAGAAGGCGCGCCGGGAGCAACAGCAGGTTCCTCGACTACGGGAGGATCCGGGACCACGGGTTCAGCCATCTCGAC